GCTGGAATAATTCCATCTGCAAGCTGCAGTCACTAGATTTGATAACGCCTACTACAGTCATTTTCAAAGGCAATTATAAAGGCTGCCAGAACCAGCCTGGTTAAGGTTTCTGATTGCTCCTCTGTTCCTAAAGTGTCCTTTTCAGAGGTGTTTCTCTACAAGCTGGTTGCAGTGTGTTCTTGGAACAGCCTGTTGCTCAGCACCATTAGCCCCACAGTCCGTGGATGGTCACAGTGATGATGATGCTGCACCCACATCCTCCTGTATAAATATTTTTTGTTCTTTATCTTCCACTGCTCAGCCAGTTGGGACTCATCTCACACAGTCTGTTTGGAGACGCACCAAGTGATCACTGTTTGGCATGAGCATCACTGTGGTATATCATGTTCTAATTTTATTATTCTGTCCCATTTCTCCTTGCTAAATACAGCAGTATCTGGGAATTACATTCCTGTAGTCTGCTGTAGTAAAACTGCAGATGGAATGTGTTTATTCAGATGGTGTGTAGTCCATCTTGGGTAGGAGAAAATAAATGAAATTGTAGAAACTTTATTTGAAGCAGTAAGAGAGAACTTTGAACAGTTCATATGCTGTGTTATGGGTGAGTTAGGCTAAAGAAAATACACTGGCTGGTGTGTCCTCGGTTCTGATCTAGCTAGGTGATTTTCTATGATGAATCATTTATTTTTTAATAAATGGAGGGAGGGAGAGGAGGCAAAAATGGTCTCCAAGAATTTGTGGCTTAGGTCTGTTAATGTGGTTTGCTTAATTCCAGAGAGGAATGCCACTTGACAGTTCTTTTGGGGGTAGAAGTTGAAAATAGCTTGGCTGTAGCTGTTACACTGGGTTTTGGAGTTTTAAACATTTCACTGCTTTCAAGAGGTAGCCAGATGCCATTGCATGTTATAATCTGAGGGCAATGTAATTCGGCCCAACTGCTTAGAGCTTGTCTAGAGAAAAGTGGACAGGTGCTGTCCCTTCCCCAAGGCAGCAGGGAGGCTTCTGGGATGTGCCAAAGAGAGGTTTGGCCTCGGGGCATTTGGGAGGACTGTGGGACTTGTTGGAAGAGGGAGAAAGCAGGCTTTATCCCATCCTATTCAATCACCTCTGGTTTGTGTATTGTTCTTCTTGCTTCACCTCGCCAGCCGTGCATTCCCTGGGCTGGGACCGATGTGCAGTGGGATGACCGGCCACTCGGTGGAGTAAGGAGACCTCCAAATGCCATGGGAACACGCGGGCCTTGCCATCCCAGCTCCTGGCGCCGTCCCTGGAAACACCAGGGCAGCACTTGGAAACTCGTTCAATCCAGAATCTTCTGTGCCGTACCTCATTAAGCTTGTCTGAGAAAACTCCATTACCTCTTAAGTAATATTTTTAAGTTCTCAGGGGCAAGAGTGTTAATAAGCTAATTCTTGCTGCCTGTTACCTGTTGTTTGTGATGCTTAAAGAGAATACCCAACTGATAAAGCACATCTGTTATGTTGTTAATCAGTCAGTGGGAAACAGGATTTGATTCAAAATACAGTAAGACCATTAGAAGACAAATATTCAACGAGGGCTATATCGTGTATAGTATAAAGAGAAACTGTTCTGTGAAGCTGTTCTGAGAGGCTGGGTCTCAAATAGCTGCTGTGATATTCTGGATCACAACCAGAATTGTAGATAAGGTCATCAGCCCTGGGGAATGCACTCTTCAGACGTTGTTTCTGACACCAGATTACAATTTTCTGTGTAAGTGGAAGTGACATTGATGGAAAAGCAGCTGATTGTAAAGAAATCCTGCAGATGACAGCCATGGCCTGTGCTATTCAATGAAATATTTCCTACTGAACTATTTATTCTTAATGGGCAAATATGAAATCACCTCCCCTAGTCCTATTTCAAGTTCAGGAAACTAGATTGGCAGGATGTAAAATATTTATTTCACATAGTGCATGAGTCAAATGGAGAAGCTGCCAAACATCTCTGATTAAACATTTTGATGCACCAGCAGGGAAAAACAGCCCACTGGTACCAGCAGACGTGTCCTACCTAGGCCTGGAGAAGCAGAGAGCAGCAAGGAGTAATGCCAGCTCCATCCACTGGCAATAAAAACCGACATCCTTGATCCAGCCTTATAAAAACTCTAGCTTGGCAGTGCAGTTGCCCAGCAAGTGGTGGCACAGGTTTGTCTCCCTGTCCTGACTTCAGCACCCATGGGGCACCCCCAGCTTTCGGATCCCAGACTTTTACTGACAACACCTCCCATCCCAATTCTCCCGTGTTCAGTGCTGTCAAATCATCTCCCCGCTGTCAGATATTGGCTCAAAATGTTCAGCTGCCTCTAATGACAGCTTCTACAGCCTCTTCAGCTCTCTTATCAGCTTGGTTCCAGTGCTTGCTGGCACTCAGCCTGTCTGTGGCAGTTCTCAGACTTCAGTGCTAACTCCCCAAACTGTAGTGTCTCAACCTGGAGCTTTTGTTCTTCCCCCTCCCCACCAAGTTAATGAAAGAACGACACAGATTTTAATACTGACAGTTGGGGTCTAAATCTGTGTTGCTCCCTACTTGCATATCTAGACTAATTTCCTTCTCCAGGAAGAGAGAGAATCAGTGGAAATTACCTGGATTTCATGAAACTGAGCACAACCCAAAGTGTGGGAGTTCCTCCCATGGCCAAGGCGAACAAGAATAAGTATTCCTTTTTTTTCCACCACAGTACTTAGTGTAACTCCACTTCCCAGTCTGGAACTGCACAGCTGCCCACCTGCACAGAGAGCAGTGAGTCAGAGGGTGCAAGGACTCACTGAGACATCTCAGCAAACAAAGTGGGACGGTGACACAGATGTGCTCTGAGGCTTTGAAGAGGCTGAACTTCACTTCAGAGCAGTCAGACTGACAGTAACTGATTCCACAGTTCCAAGGGGCACCAGATCACAGATTTTTGAATAGGTGCCCCCAAGGGCTGTGCTGAGCTCAGTCCCCACGTAACCTGAAGATGAGTTCAAGGGTTCCTTTTTTCAGAGATAAAAGCTAAACATCCCCACATCTTAAGAATCCTGCTCTAACTAGACAACTTCAGAGAAGTTTGCTGATCAAATATTTTGCTTCCCTTTTCTCTTTCAGATGTCCTCACATCTCTTCCTAAATTCTTTGCTTCCCAAGGCTCCTATCTGATCTCTGCACTTTGATTTATTTTTTTTTCCCAGTCTGGAAAGACCCTTTAGTACATCAGTGAGGGAAAGGAGAACTCCTGAGTATTTTTTGTAAAACTAAAGGAAGGTAAATGTGGCAGAGGCTCTGGAACCAGCTCTATATGTCTGTGCCAAAGGGTGAATACATGGGGGAGCTGTATTGCTACTGCAGTGTGTGCTGTCACTGTGTTGTGATTGACAGCTGACTTACAGTCAAGCCAACCTCTCCCCTAACCCTGAATTTGCACATAAAAGGAATGAGAGACTCATGTTCAAAGAAATACAGCTTCCTGAGAATGCTCCTATTGGTTCCCAGAACAGAGATTAATTTGACCAGCTTGCTCTAATCATGGGATTTTCAGGGTTGCTAAGGGCCATATGGACCTCTCTTAGTGAAGGAAGCAAATGAATGGATACTGTCTGGATTCAAAACCTGCTGCACTTACATGGTCATTTTAGTTGGACAGCTTCATCAGTCACCTCCAGAATGTCACTCAGTGATGGATGGTCACCTGTGCTCAGCAACCACAGCGGGAAAGAAGTGCTGGCAGAGGCAATAAGTACCTGAGCCTCACTGAGCCAGTGCTCCTTCCTCCCCAGAGGGTGACCCATCATTCTTGGTCTGAGGCACAATGCAGAAACCAGAACCATCCCTGGTCTCCCCTCTGGCAGCTCACAGCGTGGGCTTAAAAAGCAGTCCAAAAATCTACAAGAGAGAAAAGGGACAGAGCAGAGAGATCAAATTAAAACCCAGCCATGGAGCACAGCAGTTGCAGGAGGCTTTAATGAGGACTCCTGCAAAGGCAGGGACATGCCGTTTGTTAGCAGCTCTGTCTCATTAAAGTGTGGGTGGACAGTGGCTGTTCCATCCATGCCCAGCCACGAGGAGTTCCTTTGCCTGGCTCTGCCTTCTCGCTTGAGCGCAGCAGAGCGTGGGAACCTCTGCTCATCCTGCTTTTCCTTGATTGTCCCTTAACTCTCTACACTCAGCTTTTCTCCCCCTGGCCTGGGCCTGTTCAGAACAGGGTCAATGGCTTTTCCTCAGAAAAAAATGTTGTAGTGTGACCAGTGTTTTATTTGGGTTGTCAGACTGATGTGTGGAGCAGTGAAGGTGCAGCAAATGGGTCTGTCAGAATCGTAGAAGGTAAAGGGGTTGGAATGGACTTTAAATATCATCTAGTCCCAACACCTGCTGCCATGGGCACCTCCCACTAGCCCAGGCTGGTCAAGGCCTTATCCAGCCTGGCTTCCAACACTGCCAGGGTTGGAGCATCCACGACCTGTGCCTGTGTCTCACCACCCTCACAGTAAAGAATTTCTTCCATATAGCTAACCTAAATTTCCCTTCTTTCAAGTTATATACCCTTTCTCCCTTAGTCCTATCACTAGAGTTCCCGGTGCACAGTCTCCAGCTTCCTTTGATGCTGGCAGGGCTGTGTGGTCTGCACGGAACCTTCCCTCCTCCAGGCTGAACAGCCCCAGCTTTCTCAGCGTGGGGAAGAGAAGGAGGGACGAAGCCAGCCGGCGGTCTGTCCCCACCCTGCCCCCTCTCCCTCCCTCCCTGCCCATTCCCTGGATTTCCCTTCCCTTTTCCCGCCGGCTCCTCTCCGCCCCCTGGCGGCGCAGCCCACCGCGGTCCCCCCTCCCTCCCTCCCTCCCTCGCTCTCCATCCTCCGGCTCTGCCCTATTGTTCTCCCGTCCCTCGCTCCCTCCCTCCCTCCGCCGGCTCTCGCGTCCTCCCTCCGCTCTCCTCCCTCCCTCCCTCCATCCCTCCCTCCTCCTCCTCGCCGTGCCTCCCGCCCCGCTCCCCGGCGCTGATGTCACGCACCCGCTGAAGGCGCGGGCGATCATGGCTGCTGCGGCCGCGGCCGCGCCGCCCGCCCGCCGCTGATGCCCGCGATGGAGCCGGCCAGCCTGCTGCGGTTCCTGCGGAAGCTCAAGGAGGTTTTCGACGTGTGCGACGAGGATGCGGACGGCTTCATCCGCGTGGAGCACTTCGTCGCCCTGGGGCTGCAGTTCGGCCAAGGGGATGAGGTGAGTGGGGCAAATCCCCCGCTCCGATCCCCCCGCAACTTTCACCTGCTGTGCGCGGCCGGACCCCGCCCGGGCCGCCCGTCTCACGGCAGCCCAGACCCGCTCCCTTCTGAGACCCGTCCCTCGGGGGGTCCCACAGCCCTCCCCATGGCAGCCTGGACCCCTTTTCCCCCCGGCCGCCCTCCGCCTTTCCCGCATGAGTCCTCCCTAAAGACATCCCGGCTCCCTCCATCCCTCGGGAGGGTCCAGACCCCCGGGCTGACCCTGTCGCGGTCCCCTGGGGTGGAGGGACCTGTCCCGGTGCCGGCAGGGCTGGGGGGTCGCGGTGCCTTTCTTGGGAGGTGTTTATTATGGTTTTTCTCCGTCCTGGCTGAGCTGAGCCCGCACCGGTGCCCGGCTCTGTTGGGGTACTGGGAGCAGAGCCAGGTCTGGACAGGCAGGGAAGCACCTGTGCGGGCACCCCAAAAGCTGCAGGTGATGGGTTGGAAGCGAGGGCTCCCTCCATTCATCCATCCCTCCCTCCAGCCCTCCAGTGACACAGCGTAAATCTGGAGTCGCGCCACTGGTCTCGGAGCGGTTGCGTCAGTGGGACCACTGTACATCGTGACATCAGTGTAAAATGGGAGTGGGATTCGGGCCAGAGGCAATGAGGGCAACGACGCGTGCTTGGTTTGAAACGGTTCCCGTCAGTGGTTCCATCAAGGGCTGCAGATCCAGCGAAATTAACCAGCAAGAAACGCTTTCCCGTGGAGAACTCCCGGGATATTGCACTTAACTCTTCAATACGTCCCAGCAATTTTGGGTGCCAGGGAGGAGGAGTGGAGTTGGGACTGGGACAGGGTTCAGAAAACCAGTATCAAACAACCTTTTAAATTGCAATAAAACAAATTAATGTGAGGAGCCCACGAAACGGTGGTTTATAAAGGGATGCTGAAGAGGCAGCAAAACCAGAGTAATTGTTGGAGCAAATTACTTACTTCTGGCTTACCACTCTTAATGAAACACAGCTTGTGAATTAAGTCAGGAAACCAGGAGACAGAAGGCTTATTACTTACAGATAGTCACAGGTCTGTTAAACATTTTCTTAATGAGAAGATGGAGTTTATTGTTTTAACTAGCAAAATAAGGACAAATGAGCAACAGTAATGAGTTCTTTGATTTCTGGTTTTATTTGTCTCTTGGTAAGTTGTGTAATTTTATATAAACTAAGAGAAATATTTTTAAATCCTTTCTGCTACCAGATACACTGCATCCAAATTGCTTTTTGCACTGCTGTGTTTATCTGGAGGCAGACCAGTGGCTTTCTCATGCAGCACGGAGAAAGACTGATGAAATTCCACTGGCTGTTTTGCAGCAGGATGACACTGATGATCATAACAATACTTTTTGGTCTCAGAAGTCTTTAAGGTTGTGAGAGGGGAGCGGGTTCTGTAAGATGCAAAGGAGGATTCAGGTGGTGATCTCGTAAGCTTTGAGTGAATTGGAGTATATTAGTTGGAAAACATTTAAATGGAGAGAAAGAGGAAACTGAAATGTCAGTACAGACAGCACTAGAGAAGTACCAGGTGTCAGTGGTTGTGTGTAGGATTCAGGACAGGCTGGCTTGCTGGGCAGGCATGGGAGAGATTGCCAGGGGTGAGAAGTGCATCCCTTTGTATTTTGTTCAGTTGTAACTGGCAGTGTTTGATAAGATATTTGCAAATCTGGGACAGAGAACTCTTATCTCTACATCGTATCTTTTTATCTGTCAGGGTTATAATATAACTTGTTCTGGTTTACTTCCCTGTGTCTGGTGTAGTCAGGGGTGGGAGCACGTGGCAGTTGAGTAAATGGGATTTGTAAATCACCAAAAGAGGTTTGCTAGAGGAATACAGAATCAGTTTTGCAAGTGCAGATTTACTGTAGAACAGCCACTGTAGATGAACTAGTCTGGTTTTAAGGCTTGTTAAAAAGGGGCTTTCTGTGTGATGAATCACAGTTGATGTTTGGAGATGGCAAGAATCTACTCTTTCAACCTTGCATCTGCAGGAGCCTAATAAGTTCTATGTGGAGCCTAATAAGTTCTATTTCTATTCATGAAATTGAGGAGACACTGTTAAGGAGCAGTTCCCTTTAACACATTGGAACATATTTACTGTCAATGAAAATTAATTCTATTTTTGAATATGCTACAATTCTTGGGCTTGATCCACCTCAGCTCCCTTTACATTCCAAAGAGATCTTTCCATTCTCATCAGTGAAAGATGGATTTGCCCTCCTGTGTCAGTCATTTGCTCCTTCTGTTGACACAGTTCGTGAGGTGACAGGAGGGATCCTATTTGGTAGCACTGTGGTCTGAGTAATTCTGACTCTTACCAAGAGTAGCCCTGGGTTATGTTTATGAACTGGGAGAGTATCTGTCCCTTCAGTAGTGCCAGCCGGGCATAAGCAGCTTTCCACCTCTTCTCTACCTCCTCCAAGCCACCGCCATCCAAAGTTTGGAGTCTATAAATTCTTAATATTGACTTCAGTAGGGCTTGTGGCTTGGACTGTTTAGGGCATTTAGCCTTTTCTGGCTGTTTCTTTTTCTTTCTCTTTCCTTTTTCTTTCTTGTTTGCTTGTTTTTGTGTGGTGTGTAGTAAACATGCTGAATGTTACCATTCCTGAAAGATAACAATTCTGAAAACTGCCCCAAGGGCAAAATGTTGCACCAAGGCAGCAGCCTTCTGTTGAAGCGAAGCAATCCTTACCTGCACAGTCAAAATAATGAACTTTAACCTTTCTGGTTAACTTTTTTACTGTTTTATTTTTAGTGGGCTTTGGAGGCCTCTGTTTCTAGCAGCTTTTCTTTTCCTGAGACTGCACCATCACTGCTGAACCTCATTCCATTCTGCCTTGCACATGCACACCAAAATCCTGGTCGTGCCATGCAGTTTGATGCCCACTGCAGCAATGCCAGTGGCCTCAGAGTGGCTGTTTAGGTGAGGTGTTTCAGCTGTGGAAACACTTCTAGCAAGTTTGCTTACAAGCTTTTGCTTTGCCCTAGAAAGCACATGGTTCAACTAAAGGAAGAAATGATTTGGCCATGTAAATCTGGCCCAGCCAGGAGCAGAGTCATGTCTCTAAATTCCTGAATTTAGAGCAGACCAGACTAGCTGTCGAGTGCTGCTTGCCCGTACAAATGGTTGTGCAACTTGTGCTTTTAGGCAGTTTGGCTTTCTGGCCTCCGTTCATCCCATCTGGCTGTGGGCATTTAACTGAGTTGTCTAAATTAATCTTTCTCCATGGACATTGGTGAGCAGTTGAACACTCAGAGGCTGTAACAGGACCAGAGGACAAAATAAATCCTTCAGAGGTGCTTCTTTATCTCCAGGACAACAGAAACTCTGAGCTGAGACTTCTGGTTCAGTGCTGAAAGCCAGCAGGGTTGGGCCTGGCCTTTCCTCTTGAATGGGGTGTTTGCTGTTTGTGTAGAAATCTGAAGGGCTGTTTCCAAAGTGACTTGACGGGATGGCATGTGCTCACCAGCTAAAGAAACACTTCACATTACACTGAGAAATGCCAAGAGTCGCTCGCCATCTGCTTCCCTTTCACTGGGAAGGGAGTTTCACTACCAGCCAAGTGTCTGGGAGCACTGTGAGTGAGTGACATGTTCAGCAAGCCCCAGTTCTGGCAGGGGATTGTGTGAATGTGTATTTCAGGATAGTGCCAGTTGATGTTTTATTATGCCAGATTCTACTTCAACTCCACATTCAGTTTTCAGCAACAAGTGAAATAGGCTGAGCATGTTTACAACTCCTTTCTGAGAGACAGGTAATCACCTTTTGGAGGTGTGCAGACCGTGCAGGTGCTTACACAGGGATCTGTCATGGTAAAATCAACTGCTGCTCATCAATTTGAAGCAGTGTCACACCTGAAAGGCAACTAATAAAATATACAGGCCCATATCAGTTATTCATGTGAGTGGACAGTAACTCATTTGAAGTCAGTGGTTTATTAGTGGTGTAGAACAGAAGCAGCTGAAAACAAGTTCACATATTTCACATGAACAAATGAAAGCTTCTGGCCAACAGAAACTATTGCAATAGGGAGATGTTTGTTGCTAATTTTAGTTGCTTCCATTTATCCCCATTCTGGGCTGAAGTTAAAGGCATCAACCTCAAGTGCTGCCCAGGCAGTAGATGCTCCATTTTGACTTGCTCTCAGATGTCTCCCAGGAGCTGACGTTGTCATGCTCTCAACTCAGCCCTTCTGTTGTAAGCACTCCAGAAGCAGCTTCTCCTGTGAAGAGCAGGGCTGTAGTTTCACTGCCTGACAGCCACGAGTCTTCCTGAGGGGTCTGGGTGAATTTCATGCCCCTGGCTGTAGTGATGCAGCTCAGAGTTGCACGCAGAAATTAATGAAATCACTGCAGAGTTACATCAGTGTGCATGATGACAGAGCTCATACCTTGACAGTGTGCACTGTGCTCTCGACTGACCTGCAGCCATGAGAAAAAGAGGCTTTGGCACTGAGACATTGAAAGGCAGCTATGAGGGTGTCACCAAGTGATGCTGCCATTCTCATAATGGAGGGGGTAAAGGGCTACGACTTCCTTCTTCTCTGCTTTTCCTGGAAATAATTAAAGAAAAATTAAAGTATTTGCCTGGATGTAACAAGGATACAAAGAGCACACCCATGTGACAGTGTTTTCTAGGTAGCAGCAAGGCTGCCACACATTCAGATTCCTTAAAACTGTAGTTGCTAATGACCCAGATATTTCATATAATTTACAGTGGCTGGGCAAAAATGCAGTTCTGAAGTGGCACAGTGGGGTACTTATTTTATGGATTAGCCCAGGCAGAGCCACTGTAGCCTTCCTAATTCAATACAAGCTAGCAGTGAATATGTTTAAAATAGCCCTTTGGAATATCTTGAAAGTGAGCATGTATTTCCAAACAGCTGACATAAAGCAAGCTTGGTAGTCACGATTAATCAAACATTTTGCTGTGGTGAGGAGGGGAGCTGTAGGTTTGCTGTGC